GAAGCAAATATATATTAGCTACAGCAATCGACAACATTGTGTATGAAGAGAAGCTGGGTTTCGAAGAATCTCTTAGCAGATTGACACTTCGTTTGAGAAGACGAGTGAAATGGATTGGCAGGTATTGTCGCCAGTCTCGAACTTGACCAGACGAATGCAAAGGTTACCTAAGCGAGGTCGAAACTGTACTCTACTCTAGAACATAGGGTCGTGCTGACTACAGGTTGGAGAAAAGATTAACTGGCCTCCATTGTTTTTGACCTCTGGAAAGTGAGTCATCGAGATTTGGATGCACAAAACCAGTCGCTCATCTACACTCAGATATGCTAATTATGCCATTTTGGAATGGTGACTTTGTATTTAGCATACTGAAGTTCCTCACCTGAGTTAGACGAGAGACTTTGGTGGCGCCACTTATTCGCGTACATTCAATGTTGCTCATCCGGCGTCACTTGTGAAAGAAATCTGCCATTTTCTTATTCGGAAAAGGAAAATGATTTGGTGACTTCTAACGCTTGGCGTCAATGCTGGCTTCACTCGTTCCCTTGAACTCATGCTCTCTGTCTTCACGACAGGTAAAATTGCAGTTGTAGGTGGACCTTAATACACAATTCTTCTGTAAAATTTGCCTCACTTCGAACTTGCAGACTAGCATAGAAAAATTTCAAGATCTCGTAATCACCAAAGAAAGCAATCGTCCAAGGTTTTTGGTGCCAACCCTTTTGTAACATCGAATGCTGTTGTAGGCTGGTCATGGCTCTGATTGCAACCTCTCTTCCTCGCGTTTATCTATTTCTGTTAGGGCTATCCGGTAGACCAGCCTGACGGTGATTGGGTTGGAGAAAATGCGTATTTTACAGACTCAAGACGGCAGGGTAACGCTAGAGACCGAGACGAAGTCAGGACTTGAGCTCTCCAGATCAATTTAGGGTTGAGCGACCCGTCGGCCAATGCGAGTATTGAGCCAAAACATTAGTCAGACAACCCCCCAAAGCCAAGTATTACAAAATGCTGTAAATGAGTTTAGTGGTAAATGTGGTAGTAAACGCTCCAAATATAGGACTTTGGCGCTAAAGTAAGTTCGAGTAAGTTTCCGAAAACGCATTTAAGCCTTAGAAAGAAGCTAATCACCTCTAGAGCGTTGACGACCCCTGCATTTAAGGTGCTTGGCAATGTGCTAGCCACCTTGAACGCACAGTAGTCATGTGACGCTCACTGTAGACATGCGAACAATTTACTCGCACTCTGGTCAGCAGGGTTGGAGAGCTGGAGTGACACTTGTCTTTCTGTATCACCCTCTGCTTTGTTTATTCAACTGTACTCATTACTCATTGTCCATTGTTTTCCGTCCAGTGTGACTTTGGATTCGCCAAGAAGGTGGGTGCTGGAAAGAAGACCTGGACCTTTTGTGGCACTCCAGAGTACGTGGCACCGGAGATCATACTCAACAAGGGTCATGACCATTCCTCCGACTACTGGTCGTTGGGGATTCTCATCTTCGAGCTTCTAACCGGCAGGCAAGATACCCAGATCGTTGCTATATTCGTGTTTTCCGTCACCCACCTCTCACCTCTCACCTCCCACTCCCTACCAGGCTTGCTCGGTAATGCTCACGACTCGCCCAATTTTGGCACTC